TTAATCAATAAAGCAACAGCAGCCTGCAAGGAGGAAGCAGGTGGAGTGGCGGGACTTTAACTGGGGGCCTGGGAATGGCATGCAACCTTGCAACCTTCATTTTCTCCTTGGGAAATAAGAAATGTCCATTAGGTAGATTATAAGTTCTGGGAAGAAAGTTCAACTCTGGGAACAGGAAAGTAAGGCATGTAAGAATTAAGAGAGGGGTTAAATCTTATGGAAATACACATATGTACACACTCACATGCACACACGTACATATGAGCTCTCTCTCACACACCCATTTGAGACACGGTCTCCTATATTCTAGGCAGGCCTTGAACTTGCTATGAAGCTGAGGATGACCTTAAACGTCAGACCCTCTAATTCTGAGCAGAGTTATAGGTATGCAAACCCCTCTCCCTCAGGGTGGAGGTAGTGGCTCAGGCCCTGAGCTTCCTTGAGCTTCTGCAGGTCAGGAGAACATTCTATCAGCTCTGCTGTATCTCCAGACTGGATCCATATCTTGTTTCCATTTTTCTTTGACTGTTAGGAAGTGCATAGCGACAAACCTAGTGACCTTCAGTGGCTAAGCCCCTTTAGCAGGTGGAGGTGGGTGGTCACGTGGGCTTGCTTATGGGAAAGGCTTATGGTTTATCTCAGGTCTGGGCTCTGTTTCTCTTGTTTTCATGCCCTTGTCTGCCATTATCTTTCTGTTTGCATGATCTCAACCACGTCATTGTTTGCTATTACATTGCTTGAGGTTTTGAAAATGGCATCAGATTGTTTTGGAGTAAGCATAATGGCAACAGATGACCAAAATACCACATCAACCAAGGAAGGATAGTGTGCATCACTGGGATAGTCAGGACCTCAGTCAGATAATCATGGCCCAGGGACCAAGCCTGCCCCATTGTGCTCACTTCTTGATCACCAGATTGGGAAGATCACTTGCCCTCTTTGAACCTCATTTTTTTCATCTGTAAGATGGTTGTACTATTGCACTCCAAGTCTTGCCTGTCTAGGCCATGTGGAACTGTTCCACAAGGTGCAGGATACAGGAGGGTGATAGAGTTTGCAAGACTTCCCCAGCTGCCTTTTGAGGTCATGCACAGAGTTGGGGGTGGAACTTCCGAGCAGGACCTAAAACGGGTGCATGGGGACTTAGGCTGTAGCAGCCTGGTGTGAGAGATGAAGGAGGCATGAGCAGAATGATGTGGGTTGCCCGATTTTCAGTAGCTCCAGAGGGAGGTATCAGCTTTCTGTGTGGGACCAGATCAGAATCTCTTAGTGGTCTCTTCTGGTTGGGTGAGGCCTTGGTGCGTGGCCTGTGGGGCACAAGACAGAACTGCATCAACGATTCTTTCAACCAGGGCCTGTTGGCAGCATTCAGGCTGTCCACCTGGGGATGCACTTTAGTGGAGAGCATCCCATGAAGGACTGCTTCCTCCTGCTTTGCTCTGATCCTGCTTACTTCTTCTGAGATGGACACTGTGTTAGCAGAATCACCAGCAAGGTGGCCTCCAAGGCAGTGGAAAATTCGTGCTTGCCTAACTACACCCACCAAGACAGGCTTGTGTTATCCACTGTGGGTTAGTTACTACATGGCCACACACACACATGGTAGCCCTCTGGCCTGGGACTTTAATGAGGAAGGAGGAAATAAAACCAAAGTGGTATCCCCACTCACGGAACTCACTTGAGTGTGAGCGAGCTCAGTGCAGGCCATCCATTGCGGTTTGCCCCTTCACTGGCCACACATAAGAATCCCATTATGGCCCTGCTGCCCTTTAGCTTGGTGACACCAATGACACTTTAATTTTCTTTGCTTTGGCTTAGTGCTGTGTACCTGTCACTGCCCCATGCACATTTAAGCTTCCCTTTTGTTCCAAGTTCCTTGGAGTGACAGTATTTGCTGTATTTTTCAAGGCCACTTGCCAAGCCCCCTGACAAAAGCTGACAGGGGATATGGTAGTAGTTGTCAAGCAAATCCGAGGTCCTGAGCCATTGCCTTAAACTCTGTATGAACCAGTAATCTGGAGTGGAGAGGCCTGGTGGTGCTGCTGGGTCCATAGGGATACAAATGAGCTCATTTGGAATATGGTGAACTCCTTGGCAAAGTGGGCAACAGATCATGGGCCTCTTCTTCCTTCCTTCCTTCCTTCCTTCCTTCCTTCCTTCCTTCCTTCCTTCCTTCCTTCCTTCCTTCCTTCCTTTCTTCCCTCCCTCCCTCCCTCCCTCCCTTCCTTCCTCTTTCCCTCCCTGTCTCCTTCCTTCCTTTCTTCCGGACAAGGTTTTCATTAACCCAAGATGTCTTTGAACTTGCTCTGCAGTCAGGGATGACCTGGGTTTATTTATGATCCTCCTGCCTCAAGTGCTGGGATTCCCGCCTGCACCTCTACATCTGGTTTATGCTGTTCTGGGGTGGAACCCAAGGCTTCATATATGCTAGGTGAGCACTCTACCAGCTACAGGTTGCAAACGACTTGAAAGCAGGTCTGTGGGAGAGGTTTGGGGTCTATGTTCTATTGACTGTCCTTGAAGCTGCAGGCTAGATGAACTTGTAGGAGGAAGAAGTGTTGAAGGAAGGGACATGGCCCAGGGAACACTTGCTCTCCAAATTCCCACCTTTCTTCTGAGTCCCCTGTCATATAGGTGGCACCCTTGGTTTGTGTCAATGACTCAAAGTCCAGCTGGGGGCCATTCAGGGCTCCTGTGTGCCTATTTCCCCAACATAACCGTCATCTCTGGAGTTTCCTGGGGTCACTGACTATCTGATCCATAAAATTCAGGGCCATTCCTCCTTTGTTCCTGTGTCCCAAGATGTAAAGCCATCTGGCACAGTGACAAGGTTCCCTCTGTTCTCTTCGGTGTAGATATTCTCTGTGTTGAGTAAGGTTCTGAACCCATGTGCGGCCTGTTGTAACACCTCACCGGGCCCTGTGTGACAGCCTTGGGTTTGTTCTAAAGGCTCTGAGCATATGTATGTAGTCCAGAGCCAGGGCTTCAGTGCGGAAGTGCTCAGGGTAGGGTGGTTCATTCGGAGGGAAGGGGGTCTTCCTTCTTTTATGGCCTAGATCAATCTACCTTTTGGGGTAGCCTAGTCCACCTGACTTTCAGTCAGTCTTGATCAATTTCAACCCAGAATTACCTTGCTGTTTGCTTCCTGATGCATTCAATCCCCACCCTCTAAAAATTGTACAACTAAGTCTTAGACTCTAAGGCAGATCTGACTTGGGGGTTCACTTGATCACATCCTGCCCTCTCAGTAGCTCCTGTCTTTTTAGACAGCTTGGGCACTGGTGACACCTTCGTTTCATGTTCATCTCTCCCTTGTAGATCCAGGTGACAACTGAAGGCAAGGAGACCCTCCAGCTGGGCATCCTTTCTGCATGGCACTGCCCCAACATCAGCTGCTTGGAGCCATCAGCCTTCTGAGGGAGGAAATGGGTCCACCCCTTACTTCTGCCCAAAGGCCAATGACTGCCACTCTCTGAGCCATCTGGAATTCAGCAAGAATCCTTAGATAGGCTGAACAAGCTGTGGTCGTGCTCATGCGTGTTCTGGCTTGGAGGTGATCTAATCAATTCTCCCACTTCTCCAACTTACCTGGGACCATATGCCCATGGTCCAGAGGCGCAGTTGTGACACCAAGCCCTTAGAGGTGCCCAGAACAGTTCTTTGTGCAGAAAGTGCCCGAGGAGGTCCATGACAGTCTCCTTTATCTGGGTAAGAGTTGCCCTTGGACACTATTCAGTTTCCTTGTTCTTATTCTGTGCTCCCAAACAAACTATTGGGATATAATTTCGTCTCTCATGCAGACCCATTCTAAAGCCAAAATACACTTCCATTGTCAATGACTAAAATTTCCTGGTGTACCGATAGCCTCTGAGCAGTGTAATTAGTGCAGCTGGACTTCCAACAATCTGGATGTCCTGTGGGGAGTTTGGGTTCAGAGTCTCTCATGGGCGATGGTGCTATCCTTATGAGCACCTTCCTTTAACAGCTGTCCCCGCTGTCTGAAGACCCTGGCAAGCACAGAAGTCAAGTCTGGAATGTGACTTGCCTATGGATGAGATTAGAGACAGACTCTCAGCCCCTAATGGTGACTTCACAGTAGCCCACTAGAATCAAGTACAGAGACCACAGGTTAACAGTGCAGGGGAAGGAGCCAAACCGCCCTGGTGCCTTATGAGAAAGGCCCTACTCAGAAGGCCAGAAAATAGGCAATTCTGCTGAGCTAACCACTTTCCACCAGCCCTTTTCATCACAGAGAGTATTTTACAGATGTCAAACAACCTTCTCAGAGTGTGGGGGGTCCATCAGAGTCCCGGGATACAGAGTGGGACATCCCAAAGAGTGTGGGTGCATTTATGTCGCAAATCCGAGGAAAGAGATTGACTGGAAGACAGAGAGAAACAAGGGACAAGTTGTATACTTTGTCAAGCCCCGAGCATCATACAGTGTGGTTGCTGAGGACAAGAAATCAAAGCTGGCTGAGATGGTTGGGGGTGGTTCAGCTTGAGGTCCTGCGATCCTCAGCTCTTGGACTGTGGCACCCGTGAGACCCCGATGTTGGTGGCTCATCTGTTGAAAGCTAGCATGGGTACATGGTCTAGGTGGGATGCTCCCTCATGCCCTCCACTCTTTAGTTAGTAAGCAAGGTCATTCTCAGTCCTCTGAGCCTTGGTGATGCCCACAAGAGCCAACTAGGAGGACAGCCTGCCAGTATAAACCATCCCAAACACATGCCTTCCCCTTGGCACCATGTCTCTTATTTGCCCAACAACCCACATCCTGCTTCCCATAATTTCTTTCAGACTCTCCAAGATGGAAATCAAGGCCATTTTCAGGGAGCCGTTGGGAGTCTTCGATGCTCACCTAGAAGGAAGTTTTATCACTGAAGTCAGGCCCTCTGAATTGGGCAATCGCCAGATTGTTCATACCACAATCAATCAAACACACCTAACCTTGTTCCCACAGATTAGCCAGGCAGTTAACAAAGTTCCTTACTTCCTTCATAGCGATTTATAGCAGCAATAGAAGTATACCACCCAGGAGGGCACACCTCCTTCCACCCAGGAACTTATAAATGTCAAGGAATTTCTACTGAAATTGAGAGGAACCTGCACAATGGGGATCTCCACGGTCATCTTCCAAATATGTCTTTTATGGGGTCAAGTTCTTTCTTCAGGTATTTTATCTCATTATTTATATTCATGAATTGTGCTTCTGCAAGCCTGGGTCCTGGTGGGTTAGATGAATTTGTTCGTGGCTGTGTGACTGTCCGTCTCAAGAAGGTTATTTGCTAATAACTGTAAATTCTTGCAAGCATGCAGAAGGAATGCTCTGTTTCTGCCTGAGAGCTATAAACGGTGGCTGTGAGAAAAAGCGGCCATTCTGTCGATGTTTTCAGAGAGTCGTTCAATGAAGGGAATGATTGGCCTCGCTTAGACGTCCACAGGCTAGGAAAGGCTTATGGGCATTAAAAAGAGGCCTTAAACCTTGCTAAATACACAGGTGGTGTGCTGTGAAGTTGGACAGAGACAGCCGTCTGTCAACACTCCGCAAGTGCCTTATCTCTTGTCTGTCTGGCTCTGTGGCCAATATTTGCTGAGCAAAGCTGGGTCAGGTGACTGACAGACAGGACGCTGTCACTGCACTAGTGGCTTTCTTTCACTCAGTCACTCTAACACGGTTTCACGTTCTCAGAGTGTCAAGTTATGAGCAAGGAAGACTTACCTGGCCAGTCCTTGGCACGGTTGAATCTGTGTCGTCTCACAGAGGACAAGTCTGTCTACCTGCTTGCTCTCTCTCATCTCCCCCCTCTATCTTTTCTCTCTCCTTCTCTGTCTCTGCCCATCTCTCTCTTTTCTGTCTCACCATCTCTGTCTCTATCTCTCTCTCCTCCCCTACCTTTCCCATTCCTGGATATCTTTTCATCTCTTCATAGTTCTTTTTTCCTTCCTTCCCTCCTTTGTCTCCTTTCTTCAATCTTCCCTTTCTCCTTCCTTCTTTGCTTCCTTCTTTGCTTCCTTCTTTGCTTCCTTCTTTCCTTCCTTCCTTCCTTCCTTCCTTCCTTCCTTCCTTCCTTCCTTCCTTCCCTTCTTCACACACCCTGACTTCCCCCACTTTGATGTCACTTTTGGCTACATTTCATATTTTTTTTCTAGATATCCAGATGAATTCCATAATGATCACCCTCTCCAGGCTGGGTGAGAGTCTGCTGAAAGATGAAAACTCATTTGGGGGATGGGCTTTTGTGAGAACACCTTCTCAACACCCAATCCTCAGGCTTGCACTGCTGACCAAGGGGTTCTAGACTGAGGCAGCCTGGAACTAGACAGGCTGTCTTCTTGGAGACTGTGAAATGGGAGGCAGGGCCAGCTTTCAGGGTGACAGTCTTGCTCCGCCCCTGCCCAGTGACCTGAAATCACCAGTCCTGGAGGACAGATAACCAGTTGTCTTGTCCTGTCCACAAAGAAACAAATGCAGCAGCACTATGGGGCTGAGGGAGTTTGTTATTTTAACATGTATGCGTATACACAGTTATGCGCATGTGCATGCATGCGTGCCTTCTTGCATGTTTATTCAAGCTTGTGGCTTCAGCGCACAGAGGAGAACTGACCCTCTTACACATGAGCTTCTCCAGTTCAAGCCTGGTGACACCCCAAAGTTAGGCATCATCACCTCCATCGTTCATCTGGGGGACACTAAGGCTCAGGAGACAGGCCATCTGGCAGTTGGGCCAGAGTTTGAACCCAGAGTAGGGTCTGTCGGAACTGCGATAGTAGCTGTGGTGGCTTCAGCCATGGCCTCCTCATTCAGGGAGCAGAGGGGGCAAACCTGCTGCATGGGTGACCTCAGTGCTGTACAAAAGTCAGGTGCACAGCTCACATTGGGCAGGAGGGAGGCTCTGGCCCCTCTGCTGCTCAGTGGCCGAGCCAGGAACAAAAGAACATTGTCGGGACAACAGTGGTGCCACAGCCTCTCTCCTGCAGCAGACCTCAGTGTACGCACTCACAGATGAGGTGATGTCGTCTGTTCTACAAAGGGTTCTCAAGGAGTGAGGTCACCCAGGTAGGGCTATCAGGTAGAATAAGCCTCGGGGATGATGGGTGTCCTATTCTAGACATTCCCCTAATGCTGTATCCCTTAGGGTAGTGTGGATCTCTGAATATCTCCCAGAAGAGGAGACTTGGGAATAATCCAAATACAGCCAGGCAGGAGTGGGTAGCAGGGCACTGCCTTGAATTGTCAGTTGTGACAAACGCACTGTGAGATGCAGGATGCTGTAGCTGGGCGCAGGGAGAGAGTAAGTGGCCGTGGGAACTCAGTGGGATTTTTGCTACATTCTTTTAAATCTAAAATTAGCTAAAAAAAAAAAAAAAAAAAAACAAAAAGAAACAATTTTTTTTTAAAAAAAACTTTACCTCCTTTGTTCCCATTCCTTTATAGCCAATGTTTTATAGGATGAGGGAGCCGCCTGTGAACACATTTCTGGCAGGTTCCTTATTTGTACTTAGCCATCCTCAGTGTGGCTGAAGTTGTGTCCTATTTCCTAGGAAAGGCAAGGGAAATCGGAGCGAGGGCTTCCAGGCATTGTGAGTGGTGCTGGTTGGGGAGGCTTCTCTGAGTCGCTGACATAATGGGCCCTGAATTTGTCACAGCTGTTCCTTTTCAATTTCATCATTGCTGTGCTAATACATCCCTGGGCCCACAGAAAGACACTACTGAATGCTACTGAATATGGGGGACCTAAGGCTTCACCACGGTCCCGACTCCAAGCCTGCAGGCTGGCACCTCCCAGTCCCGTGCTGTCTCTGTGTCTCTGCCCCTGCACACTGACATCTTCATGTCTCTCCATGCTCTTGCTGGTTCCTACATTGCTTAACTCACAGAGAGATGTCTATCCGTATACCTGGGCTGTTGGCTTTCAAGTACTAATTCTCCAGCCTCAGTCCTGCAGTACTGGGATTGTAGTTGTGAGCTACCGTGCCCATCTCACCTTCTGGTTTTCTTTATTCTCCTTATTATAAAGGGTCCTGCAGGTCACTCACTGCACAAAGCTGTGGTTGCTACAGTGCAACTCCAACAGCGCCACCTGTAGTCACAGTCTGCTGACTCTTGCTGCTCTGGTCTCTAGAGCCAGTCTGTTTATCCTCTCCTTCACTAGCTTCTTCTACCTGCTCATTGATGGCCAGGGACATTGTCTCCCTTAGAAGACCCTTCCTGATTCATACTCAACCTACGTAGAAACACACACACACAGAGAAATAGCCATACTTACATAGATACTTGCATGGACAGAAATATGCAGAGAGATACATACAGCAACACAGAAAAACATACACATTTATTCTCACATACAAATATGCACATGGCAGACAGATGTGACACAGAGACAAAGTTTTACATACACATAGACAAAGACACACACATATAGGCACACAGACACATACAAACCCAGACAGATACATAGAGACAGATGTGGACATTAACACACAAGCACACACATACAGTGGCCATTGACATTCTTACACTGCCTCTCAGCTAGACCTTGCCCCCTGTACAAGACTATCTGTTGGTGTCTTCAGAGGCCTACGTATGCTAGAATTCTCAAGACGGCAGGGAACACACCTCGCTCACTTAGTGCCCAGCTTGGTACATGCACCAAAAGCCTAACAATGTGCAGGGCTCACAAGAGTACATTACAACAAACAGGACAGAGGATGCCTACTGTCAAACCCTGCTGTTTCCATAATATATGCATATACAAACTCACATATATGCACAAATGCTAAACCAGGAACATTAACTACATCCTCACCATTCCCGAGAAGTTATCTCAGTCTCCATAGGAGGTTGGTTCTAAGAATTCCCTTGCTTATACCCAACCCCTCCTATACTCAAGTCTTTCTATAAACTGTTGTGTGACCCACACTTGTCCTCCCGCATCCTCCCCAGTTACATCCCCTGACAGAACACCAAGGCTGTGATGGTTGTTCCCGTGCCTCAGTGCTCCTGGGATGAGGGCAGAGTGAAAGTTTCTGCCTGCTCAGTACAGGTGCAGGGGTTCCCCCATTTTATGATCCACTGCCTGTGTAATTCATGAAAAAAGCCATGAACACAGAGTGCTGATTAGAATATAATTAAGGCTTTTTTTGCTCTTTTGACCAAGAAAAATGAATCCTCAGAGTGTTAGACTGTCTTTGGGGAACCCACACAGCAGAGATGTGGGCTTTCTGTTCAGGACTTGGTGGACTTGATCTTGGTTGTTCCTGGTTGATCAATGCATAAGAGTCAGCGTTATTGCTCCCCAGTTAGGTTTTCCCCGGGATTCCTGTGGGTGAAACACACAATCTGAATTTGCTTTATTCCCTTACAGATTCTCAAGCAAGCTATACAACACCTGGTAAGTACTTTGAAAAGATGGACTGTATCAGTTTAGAGTTTCCCCTATGTCATAATAAACACTGCCTCACTAAATGCTATCTAATGAGACAAGGAAGCATTAAATAATCCGTGTGTGATCTGGACATGTAATGACAACAGAAGCTTCTGCCAGCTGGAGCATAAAGGGTCAGGTGGTATCACAGGTGCAGTCACCAATCTGATGGTGCCCCTGCCTCAGATTTCAGTGTGTGTCAGAATCTAATAGATTATCTGATTGCATGGCCTGGGATTCACATCCTTCCCTCAAGGGATTCTGACTAGGAGACCCAGAGTGGCTCAGGGGTCTGTGCTTTGTCGCCCTCCACACTTAGGGGAAACTCCTGCCTGGCCCAACATTAATATTAGCAAGGTTACAGGGCCATTAGTTTGCTAAGACTTCAAAAAAAAAAAAAACCAAGAAAAATAGTCTCAGTCTCTCTCTCTCTCTCTCTCTCTCTCTCTCTCTCTCTCTCTCTCTCTCTCTCTCTCTCT